ACATTATTTGGCGAAAAGACTACTATGTGGTTATCAGAAATGGAATCCAATATAAAGGGATCAAATATTATGAATAATAATGATAACAGTAACACTATGAACTCGTGCTCACCCTCGGCATCCTTTTTGAAGACCTTCTATTCAGCAAAATTTCGATCGGTTCATTCCTTCGTCCATCATGCCCTGCTTCGACGTTCAGCGTACGGGTTCACCCCTCGTCAGGACACAAACAAAACAAATTTTCTCTTGAGGCATTAACTGTTGCATTGCCATCAGCGCTTCCCAAACAGTCCTCCGATACCTCATTACGCGATAAAGTGAGCAACCTGACCAGATATACATAAGCACCACAACCACCCCCCCCCCCTTTNTGTTGCATCACATGTTCGGTTGTGTAGCGGAATCTCTTGGATCTTTCATTCCGTTTGGGTATGGCGACATTATATCCCCTTTATTTAACAAGCCGAGCCTTCCAGATAGCTTTGTGAAGGTCATTTTCTTCAGTTGCTTGGATTACACTTTTACTCCCTTCATAACGAGAGATATCACGTGGGCGGTGGGGGTTGACAGCTACATAATTTCCCAATTTAGTCAAGATGAAAAATTATCATTTACTGGTATGTTTACCTGGTATTGTGTGAAAAAACGATGTGCTACCTAGAATACTTGTACCGGCCAGAATAAACATCACCATGAAACGGTAAACAATTATTAGAATGAATGAACTCTAATATTTTCTAATTTTGAGCTGTAACTTTCTGACTATTACAGATCATATCGTGACATCCAAGGCTACGCAATTTCAAATAATGATACAAGCAAATTAAGAACTTTGAAGCGAAAGATAAAGTTTGGGATAAATTCGCCCACCTAGTGTATATCGATGTACAAGTATGATATAAGAAAGTGAAAACATTTTCAAGGTGAGGGTGGGTTCGCACGCCTTCGACCAGTATTCGGGGGTAGACTGGGTGAAAGATGTTATACGGGAGCCGACTTCCAAGCTCAATCATCACAGATGCACGAAGTTTTGTTATCTGATATTCTAGAGGCAATCGGAACACTTACCATACTGTGGGGTCTCAGATTGATCGTCCGTTGTTGCACCGAATAGAGTTAATACGGAACGTGCCAACTGCGACGATTTCGACAGAGCAATGGAGGCAATTGCATTCGCGTCATCCATTGCCACGGAATCGCCCAGAACGGCGACCAGCGCCGACGTCAAGCACTGAGTAAGATAGAACTGTTGAGTCTCACAAACGAACTGTCCGAAACCCAAACGGTCTCGATGAGTGGTACGCAAATCATTCGCAGTCATTCCGGGACCGGTGTCTGGACCAATCATTGTGGAGAGAAGACCCAAGACCTGACGAGCGACCCGCGAATGCACGACTTCCCGTTGCAGTGCGGAGTATCTGTAATGGAACCCAGTGATGTGTATGTGGAATATTTAAGTGGACGGGATCGAGAGTCGTTATTGCGGTCATCAAATTTAATAATCCACAAAACGTTTATCAAGTGAGAACACGTGATATTTTCGTACACTTTGTTCCATATAAAAGATGTCAGAACATCGGAGAAATCAATACCATCGAAGAGAACAAATGATAAATGAGGCTTCCGGATTTCTAATGCTGAATCACAAAGATTCAGTTTTTGCAACTAGTAACCACGAATCACAGGGGTTTAAATAGAAATCATGTTGAGGACGAGGCAATCATCATCTTACAGTGAAATACAGAAAAGCGAACTTCACAGATCGCTGCCAAACTCACAATGCATATGAATTGGGATATGATGGATGGGTACTGCTAGGGTGTCCAGCCACTATGCAGGAGAACGCTTAGGGTTCTCAACCAAAGCCTTTAGTTCTGACAAGAACTTAGCCGCAAGACAGCGGGTGATGCGAAGTGGAGGCCCGTTTACTTGAATCCATTACTCCCCCACCATTTTTTGCCGACTGAAACGCAAATTCCAGTTGAACCCCCAACCTGGAGGATCAGAGTACTGAACTTCGTCTGACCTCTACCCTTCGACCTTTCAGGCATGATTAAATCTGCGGCATGACAAAAGCCATCCTGTATAGCTCGTTGGGTCAGACCGGTGAACAAGCCATCACAACACATCAAGGTGCGGTCTCGTTGTGATGGACGGGACAATCGCCAGTAACATGGACTAGTCAGATTTACTCTAGCAGTAATTGCAAGTTATACGAAGGCAAAGCCAAGGTGACTCTTCCCACCCCGTCCCGGACAGGGCCGGAGTTTGCAAACCAACTTCGGCCACACACACCTTGAGCCATCTACGCACAGTTAGAAAACAAGTGATCCATCGATCCAACTCCACAAATTACAATCGATGGACACAATTTTGGGGCATTAAATACTCACTCATCCAGGCCAGTGGTGTTGTCATTTGCCCGAAGGACTAATGCGAACAGTTCGACTACACTTGTTTCGGCAGCAATCCATTCGGTGAGCCACCGAGCACCGGTGGAAACTCGTTCCGGGAAATAGTTTGGTCGATTCAAGTAGGTCTGAATAACGCTACCAAGAGACACGTCTTCGGTCAACAGGGCATCGGAATGAATATAGAGAAAATCGATCGCTTGATGTGTGATAGATATGTGTGCCGGACCTGAGGGAAAGTGATCAAAGCATTGATGAGTTTTGTGAAGATTTGCAAAAAAATAATGACGATATGACTGATGAAAAAAACCGAATCGCAACTTAAGGAACAAATTTTTAATCATCGGTGGTGAAGGTGAACATCCACAACAAACAGGGATAATGTCCCCCCCCTGCGATGGCAAGTGTTGTGTTCAGTACCTTCAAATAGATGTGGCATCGAACTCAACGCTGAGAAATGCAAGGCTGTATCGCTTTTCATACTTACTTGGAACTCAACCATTACCGTGTTCTCCAAACGAAAAGGACCTGGGAATTATCGTTCGTGAGGATCTAGGATATTCGACGCATGGCGCAAGAGCGTCATCAAAGGTCAGAAAACACGTTAGATTGTTAAAACGTGTT